GCATGGCCCTAACAATTTATCAAGCTTAGAGATACATACCCATATAAAATTCCAAAATTCAGAAAGTTCAACTGTGTTTGCAGAAATTAGTTATAACATATGTGTAATCATATGCAAATTAAAATGAACTAGAAGGAAATGAGCTAAAGGAAATGAACTAAAAGGCAGAAAAATACATGTAATCACAAAAAAAGGAACATTGAATAAGTACCTGTACAGTTTATTATAGTACAGTATATTTTTCCCAGACTCAAGCATTGAAAGTACTTTACTGTATTTGCTATAAAAAATTACTGATATTTAAAATTTTATTTTATCAAATAGATATGTACAACCACATAACTAAGCCATTGCTCTGAAAGCCTTATGGTAAATTAAAGGATTTATATGAAAAACCCCCAAGTGTATAATAATATGTTGTATGTACAACTGTGCATACACATTTTAACATTTTGTCACTTGGGCAACAGACGGTAGCAGTAATAGTTTATACACAGAATTTTGACACTTGCCCCATGATTCACACTACAGTTCTGCATCTATTTTTCATTAAAAAGAATGGGTAGAACTATACCGAATGCAATAATCTTCACATGCAATTATCATCATGGTACTTTGGTATCACTACCACACTTAGCCATGGTCTCCCATACACCTACATTTGGTTTTCCAGAAGCAAAATCTCCCTCTTTCCATTTAGTAAATGTTTTTGATTTGAAACTGTCTCTTACTGACTGATGCCTAAATCTCCACTGCTGTACTGAAATTCTGCCTTCTATTTTGCCATGGTCTGAGTTTCTTCACAAGCGAGTCTAGGTTCAAAGAATATCACCTTTCAGTAAGCTCCCAAACTGTCCACTCCATTTCACATCTTCTCATCATAAGGAGAATCCGTTTTCTTGTATTTGGTGTACTGTGTGTCATACTGAGCAGGAGGATTGGATTCCTTCGGTACAATGGGGAAGCAGCACCAGAGAATGAATGCAATAAACGCTACAAACGTTCCAATTAAGAGAATAAAGTCCTCAATGGTCTGAAAATACAAAGTCAGTATTACATCAAATTGAAAAAGCAAATGAAAAGATATCAATTTCATTTGATCAATATTTTCATTATTTTGACAATGGTACTATCTGATAGAACAGAATTTGTTATACAGTAAACCCTCCATATAACAGACTAACCGGGGGAAACAGGTGGCTAGTAATGTCAGCAGTGGTGGATAGAGCAGATATTATTGGATAACAATTGTAGTAATAATGGACAATTCTGTAACCAATGGATCTGTCCATAGTTTCCAAATCAAATGATCCAGTGGATTTTGTTATTTATTTCTGAAGCTCATTATTGGGAGGGTTTACTGTGCAGTAAAACAGATAGTGATCAAAATGTTTCAATGAGTGTATGTCAAATGTCTCAAGTTGAATGCTTTTAGGCAATAAAAGTGGTCAGCATCCACATTAATTCACTGTCATTCTTACTAATTTTGATCTACCTTAACATTCTGCTGTAAATAAAAATTTGCTGCTACTGTGACTAATTTACTATTATATTACATAGGATCACATAAATGTAATACTGGACTAAATTTAATGTAGTTTAAGTCAATCTGAAAGTTCAAAGCTGGGTGACGCATTCAGACTATCGTGAATATTATACAAATATAGTACAGTATACTAAATATAGAATACTAAATATAGAATTTCATCTTACAACTCATTATCTTTTGATGTCACACTGCATACTGCAAAGGAACAAAAAAATGAATAAAGCTTACTGGTTCTTCTCCAAGGAGGATTGAATTTACAAGGTAAACGAAGTCATCAAACGGAGTCATGACTGCTTTGATGACTCAGAAATGACACCACCAGCTGAAAAAAAGCACAAACTGGTATTGCTTTGCTCCAGTAGCTGAAATGAAAATAATTTTCAGGTACTAGTCATAAAATGAATTAGCAAAGATCAATCAACTTAGACTTTTTTTACTGTACTTATTTCACAACACACAGTACTGTAGAGGCATTCACTCCTTTAAATCCAAAAACTGCTGCATTTAAATTATTATAATAAATTTAAGCATTAAATCTGTAAGGATCACACAGTGCTGACTAAAGTTAAAATGACTGTACAGCAGTTAAATACCCAAACGTCCTACAGTAGGTCATTATGTGGCTGAAAATAATGCCAACAGGGATACAGTGTATTATCTAAAAAGGAAATTTCTGGTTCAGTTTAAATGTAACCATAAATATGTTAAAAACTTTCTTACCAAGAGTTAGGCAAATGAGCCTTTTAACTGTTGGTAAGCCAAGCACACTAACCAATATTATTACATTCACAGAACCCCCAATGAAAATAAGTTGAAGACCCCAATGGAAATAAATCAAGGACCCCAATGGAAATATATCAAGGACCCCAATGGAAATATGTCAGGGACCCCAATGAAAATATGTCAAGGACCCCACTGGAAATATGTCAAGGACCCCAACAGAAACAAGTCTAGAACCCCAATGGAAACAAGTCTAGGACCCCAACAAAAACAAGTCAAAGGCCCCAATGGAAACAAGTCAAGGACCCCAATGGAAACAAGTCACGCTGACTTTTTTTGGGTTACCCTAGGTATTTTACTCTATGTATGATAATTGTACTTTTGTGTACCTGAGCCTAAATAAACTTACTACAGGGAGAAGCTGAACTAATTAGTTTCATACAGTACCTGAGGAGTGAAAAGTAATAAAGTTTGATCTGAGGAAGGAGAGGCTAATTCTAATGCCTTCACTGGCATTTGGGAGTTACTCCCTTCATTATTATTATTAAATTCATGGGGAGATTATTATTATAATCATGGGGAAGCGCTAAATCCATAGGATTATACAGCACCTGTTGGGGGGGGGGGATGGAAGGCATTCAGGTTTAATTCATGGAACTGGAGCACAGATCCAGTTCCCTAGATCAAGAGCCTCTCACAGCATCAAAGAACTTCCCTTGAGGGGCTCATGGGGAGAACTGAACAAACAGGGGTTGTACAACACCTGGGGAAATGGAAGGAATTAAGACTTGATTCCAAGAATTGAAGCTTTGGTCCAATCCCTTAGATCAAGAGCCCCTTACTAGCATCAAGGGGTCACCCCACTGGAATGATTGCTGCACATTAACCATCCAAAGAGCAACATTATGTTAACAATGCAATGCAAAACCTCATTAAACTACTTTCTCTGGAGAGTCATTAATTATTCCTTCGCTTTAGTCTTAAATGACCTATAATATTAATGACCATAATTAAATGGAAGAGAATTTCAAGGATCCCAATGGACAAAAATCTCAGTTTGACATAGGGTTAGCCTCAGGTAATTTCTATATAATGCACTATACAAGACCATTACACGATTGTTTTAATGGGAAGCACTAAACCCGCAGGGGTCATACAGTGCCTGGGGAATGGCATGGAATCAAGATTTGTTCCAAGTGGAGAGCAGCTCAGGTTCCCTGGATCAAAAGCTCTTCACTGGCGTCGCCACCTGCCTTCAAAATACAAGACCACTGTAAAAAAAAAAAACTACTTACGTAGAAAACCTAAATACACTTACAGAACCCCAACACTTGATAAACAAAAAAAAAAAAACATTACCTGAACTTACTAATAAATGACAGAGAAAACAAGAGGTGTTCTAAGAATAAATAATGCTAGCTGTGTCGCTCCTCGTCAAAAACAAGCCGACATGAGCATTTAGTACATTGTAGAGGGAAATATTCGAGGTTTGTGCCTTCCAAGGAGCCGAGGATCTCTCCATCACCGGGCATAATGTGAGTATTATTGCTGCTCCTCCTTCCCTCCACCCAAGACACTTGTCTGGCTGTATCCACCTTCACGTGCCACTCACGGTATCTCCAGGAGAAAAATGTATCACCAGCGGGACCCCACGAGCCACAGCATTTCCAGCAATAATTGTGTTGAGGATGATAGACTGGTCCCGGAGCTGGTCCCAGAGCCGCACTTCTCAAGATTTACTACTTTTAATTTAGTTTTTCATGACCCAATTTCCTGTAATTCTTTACAAATTTAACGTTCTAATCATAAGTATTTGTTGACAGTAATTCTGTAAATATGATTAAAGAAGTTTTAACACCGAACAAACAAATATCGGATATATTGAGAAATGCCATAATGCTAGAGGATTGCAGAACGAGCTTATTTTATTTCGAAATATTAAAAACAAAGATTTTTTAATATCTCGTTGAATATAATTTTAATAATTATATTAGATCAATTGTTTAGTACATAAAAAATCTACAATTAGATTTTATAGTTCATTTGCAAAATATATTTCCGTTTCCCTTTCAAATTCTAAGTTTTTATTTAGGCCTCTTACATAATTTAAAATTATACAATGACTTTATATAGTAAATTACGTAAATATTTACTTTGTCATTGAGCTTGAGTTTAGCGATAATTTATAATTGGAAATGGGCAAGCGTAAGTTGATTCTGAAGGCTTGCTTTAAGTAAGTAGATGAATGGGTCAAAGAACCGACAAGTTGATAAATTAGACACATGTGCAACATTTGGGTATCTTTAATGAGGAAACGTTTCGCCACTCAGTGGCTTCATCAGTCCATACAAAGGAGAATGGTGAAGAACAGGAGGTGTTTGAGGTAAGCAGTCCCTCAGCCTTGAGTCTATATGATCAGTCCATCAATCTTAAAAAGAAGATTGATGGACTGATCACATAGACTCAAGACTGAGGGACTGATTACCTCAAACACCTCCTGTTCTTCACCATTCTCCTTTGTATAGACTGATGAAGCCACTGTGTGGCGAAACGTCTCCTCATTAAAGATACCCAAATGTTGCACATGTGTCTAATTTATCAAGGCTTGCTTTGTTTGTGTCTATGGCTGAATATTTATTATTTAATTAACATAATGGATAGACTACACGGTACTAAAAGTTAGTAAATACGAACGAGGTTATGAATCCGGATTTAGCAACTTGGTGCTGGCGAACGATGCCACCTGTCATCGTCTGTTTGTTTACATTCTGGATGACGAGATGTCTGTTTTGACCAGTGTACGTCTCGCTCTCTGAGCTTCTGTGATACATTTACCCCTTTCTTCTTGGTACGCTTGTCCTCGTGTTCTTCTGTCCACCTGGCATATCAGATTATTATTATTATTGTAATCATGGGGAGCGCTAAACCCGTAGGATTATACAGCGCACATGGTGGGGGGGGATGGAAGATATTCAGGCTCAGTGCAGGGAACCAGAACACAGTTCCAATTCCCTAGATCAAGAGCCCCTCAACAGCATCAAGGAACTTTCCTGGAGTGGAGGAGGGGTACATCAAAAGCTGGGGTAATATTCAGTGTTGGGCACATCACAAACCAGGGCAACATTCATCATTGAACACGTCAAAGACTGAGGCAACATTCATTAGTGGGCACATCTAAGGCTGGGCCAACATTCATTAGTGGGCACATCAAATGCCAGGGCAGTATTTATGAGCATCATTTTCTGCCCCATGGATGTCCTCCTGTCCACCTGACCTTTTTAAGAACTTCTTGTTTTCACTTCTGTTTTCAAAGGGAACTCCTGTACCTTTCCCTCTCCTTTTCAGCTTTGGGCACTGTTCCCCGAACACTGGGTAATAGGGTATGGTACCTCACAAGCTGCTAGTGTCCTAAACCCCCCATGAAGATAATATTTTAACACCTTCAGCACTATGAATGTCCATGGTTAGAGGTTATATATTTTAAAGTGTATTTGTAAGTATAAAAATTAAAATTGAATGATAAATGAAACCTATGGTAAAACCATTGTAAAAACAATTGTATGTTATGTATGCAGAAACCTAAATAAAACCTTCTCTAAATTTGTTACAAGTCTGAATATCTATATGAAGTGTGCCCTTCAAAGGAATGCCTTGACGCCAGTGAAAGGCCCAATGAAAGTAACAATGTTGAGGGAACAGTTTTAGTTTTTGAAGCTTAGATTAAGTACTACAAGTTATCACATTTTAAGCAAATTTTTTTCTTTGAAAGACATGTTCCCTCTACACAAATAACCCTCCCGTAGGAGAGAAAGAAACTTAGGACAACATTTCTGTCTGACTTGGATCTGTGTGCGGGTTATTTGTATACTGTTCCAGTCATGGTACTGTGCCTTTTTATTCTTTATGTTCCCTCTGTAGCATAAGCTAAACGAGACCTTCAGTGTGTGCGAAGTTTAAAAACGGTAAAATTTTGGGCTAAATTAATGTATAAGTATGTAGTTGCTTAAAAAGGAATGAACTGTATGTTAAGTTATCGTTATTTTTATTGTTATATTTTCAGAACCATGTATGGTTTACTATATGCAAGAAATATAAAAAGCTGTTCAGTAATTATATTTTATTTCTGATATATATATACCTAGAAAGAAAAGGAGGGGGGGTTTTCTTTTCATTATGAATTTTTTTCTAAATTCTAGCTCTACTTGTTTATAAGCTGAAAACAATATTGCCAGTAGCTACATGAAGACCTGACTGTATAGCCATGTAAGAATAACCTCTTAATATTTATCCCTGTATTATTGCTAAATATATTTTACAATTAAGGCTTTCAATTGGGGAAAAAATGTTACTCCAATAAATGTAATAGTAGTTTAACTCTGTGTTTTGACAGAGTATCAGGTGCTTATGGAGGGGAGAGTTTGTCTTCCCCTAAAGCATGGTGTTTGGAGTTAGTACTAAACCCCATATAGCAGCACATCACCTGGATGATGGAGGGAAAAGTCACATTTTCTGTAAGTCTTGAAACCTGTTGCATGAATGTTAATATGAGTGTTAGATCAAGTGCTATAACTGTAATTTTCAAGCCAATGCACAATTTAAAAAAAAAAAAAGGCAAACAAGAGAGCAATCTTGGCTCAGAGCATATTGAGCACTACTGTGCATATTTATCAAGTTGCAAATAACTACAGATGGATATTGACAGAATTGTACTACTGTAAATAGATTCTAATCACATTATTTTTTAATATGATGCTTGTCTCGCATTCACTTCATGATTTATTTACATTATATTAAATGGTGGCAGGTTATCCTTCAAAAGATAAAATATTATTTTGCAGTGCAGTGACATAGATATTAAAAGTTCTTAAGATGATCCCTTTTTATTTACACAAATTATTGATATTTTCTGTTTAGAGTGACATCTAAACTGCTTTATCTGTGTGCCCCTGGAAAGACAGTGATAGTGTGAATGATGACAAAAGTGTTTTATTTATTTTTTGTGGGGGGGGGGGTCACCTTACCTCGGTGGGAGACTGCCAGTACATGTATGTTGAAATAAAAAAAATTGTTGTATAAGATAACAATTTAATTTTTAATACCAAACTCCCTAGGCAAATGCTTCCGGGGTCTCAATGCCCAATAAGAGGGCAGACATGATTGCACGCCTGGAACAGTTATGTCAGGAATACAATAAACTCTCACAGTGTCTGGCAGCAGAGTCTCATCAGATGCATGAGATAGAAGGTTAGGTATTCAGAATTTTTATTTAATACCTACTCTGCACCCTAGTTAATTATTGATATTTTTTGAGGTTGGTGGGAACTATGAGAATACAAATTTAAAATTTACACTACAAATGTGTATGTATGTATATATTCATACATACATTGTTTCCAGTGATCTTATTGCATATATATATACACTATATCATACTCTTTGTATATGATTGAAGATAGGATGTTGTTTAGTCTGTGTATGTATTGAAATACATATATAGGCTTTTTCCCTGTCTTAAGATTGAAATTCCTGCACATGTCAATATTCAGTATTCTATACTAAATGCTTTGTGTTTTTGCCATTCCTGTTTTCTTTACAAATGTAATATAACTTACAGTATTCCATTTGACATTGCATATGTAATTGGATTATATACTATGGTTATTATTATCTTTAAGCTGTTAAAGGTTATTATTGTTAAAGGTTATTATTGACTTTTATATTACAGATGTTAGTAAAATTCAAGGCAATATGGAAGAAATGACTGTAGATGCTCTGAAGAGGGAAGTGAAGAATCTTAATAATCAGCTTCTTGCACATGCAACAGAGAAAGGTGATTTAGAAAAAGCTTTTCAAGAGCAAAAAAATGAAAGTACTAAGAACATTGGCAAGCTGAATCAGGAGCTTAAGAACTGGAAGGATGATACTGATGCTTTAAAAGACATTTTGAAAAGGCTCAATGAGCAACTAAATCGGTATTACGTTATTACTTCGTATTGTCTAGGTTATGTGAAGCTGCTGAATATTCATTTCAAACTGACCTTCTGCCTTTGATGAAGTACAGTATACTGATATATTTTCTGAAATGTTGCAGCTTGTGATGTAATGCAATGAAAACTGGTATACTTTGAGTTGAATAGTTTTCTTTTCTACCAGATATCACATAAAATATGGACCACTACGAGAAGAAGAAACGAGGCATATCACCAAAGATATAAGTCGTTCAAGTATCTACAAGCTGAAAGCTCTCCTTACTGCCTATGATGAACTTCTGCTTGAACGGGATTCCACAGTTAAGTAAGTGAAGCTTATGCTCAGCTATAAGTGTATACTGTACCGTACTTTCATTTTGAAGTGCTTATCTAAATGTCTTGTGACTACTAGGTATATGTTAGTGATTCACAGTATAGCAGTAATTTGTTGGTTTATTACAATAGTTTTTGATATCAAAGAGGTACAGGGTATTAGTAATGTGATTTAAATTTAAGGTCCACAACTGAGAAGCTGGAGAAAATGGTGTTGCGTGTTAATGATGTTGTCACAGAGAATGAAAAACTTCACTCTCGTTTAGAGAAGCTGCAGTCAGAAGTAGGTTTCTGTTCAGTACAGTGTGTCTATCTTTCTGGCTGTTTACATTTCTGTCTGGCCTTGTGTCATCTGTCTTCAGTCCAGTTTGTTTCATATACAGTGGACCCTTGGTTATCAGCCGTTATCCGTTCCGGAAATTCGGCCTAAAACCGAAATGGCCTAAAACCGAAATAATATTTCCTGTAAGAATTAATGTAAATACAATTAATTCATTCCAGACACCCAAAAACATTAACAAAAAATAAATTTTTTAAAGATTAATTATAGTTTTACATACACAAAACAATGAGAACTAAATAAAATAAATAAATGAACATTTAAATCACTCTTACATACCTTTATTGAAGACTCTTGTTGGCTTATGGAAGGCAGGGAGGAGGAGAGAGGGAGGACTGATTATTGTTTAGAAGGGGAATCCCCCTCCATAAGGACTTCAGGTATCAAAGCCCTCTCTGGGGTTACTTCCCTCCCTGCCTGTTACACTCCCTGCATGCCTGCTACATTCCCTGCATTCCTCCTACACTCCCTGCTACACCCTGCCTCCCTACTACACTCCCTGCCTGCCTGCTACACTCCCTCCCTCCATACTACACTCTCTGCCATCCTCCTACACTACCTGCTACACCCTGCCTCCCTACTACACTTCCTGCCTGCCCATTACACTCCCTCCCTACATGCTACACTCCCTGCCTTCCTCCTACACTCCCTGCTACACCCTGCCTCCCTACTACACTCCCTGCTTGCCTGCTACACTCCCTCCCTCCGTGCTGCACTCCCTCCCTCCATGCTACACTCCCTCCCTCCATGCTACACCCTGCCTCCCTACTACACTCCCTGCCTCCCTTCCACACTCCCTGCTTCCCTGCTACACTTCCTGCCTCCCTTCCACACTCCCTGTTTCCCCTGCTACACTTCTTGCCTCCCTTCCACACTCCCTATTTCCCTGCTACACTTCCTGCCTCCCTTCCACACTCCCTGTTTCCTTGCTACATTCCCTGCCTCCCTTCCACACTCCCTATTTCCCTGCTACACTCCCTCCCTCCCTCCCTCCCTTCCTTCCATACTCCCTGTTTCCCTGCTACATTCCCTGCCTCCCTTCCTTATTCCCTGTTTCCCTGCTACACTCCCTGCCTCCCTTCCATACTCCCTGTTTCCCTGCTACATTTCCTGCCTCCCTTCCACACTCTCTGTTTTCCTGCTACACTCCCTGTTTCCCTGCTATACTCCCTACCTCCCTTCCACACTCCCTGTTTCCCTGCTACACTCCCTACCTCCCTTCCACAGCATATGTGTAAAGAACCTAGGATAACCCAAAAAAGTCTGACAGTGTGGCTTATTTCCATTGGGGTCCTGCCTCCGTGCTACACTCCCTGCCTGCCTGCTACACTGCCTGCCTCCTTCCTAAATTCCCTTTCACAACATTAGCTTCCTTGATGTTTGGATGAATTAGCAGAAGTGTCCTCACTTGCCCAGAGACACGGCCAGACTGACTCACAAATGCGCGAGCGGCTGGCGGGTAGGTGGGTTAATGTGTCCCATACGGCCAATAAGCGAAATAATAGCCGATAACCAGAAGCCGAAAAAACGGCTGATAACCAAGTTGGTCGATAAGCGAAATGCCTGATAACCAAGGGTCCACTGTACATTCAGTTAGTACATAGCTATTACATACAACATTTATCTACAGTGCTTATCACACATGCATGTTGTACTTTCCACTGTCTTCATCTCACCTCTTCTGGTATCTCTATGCTTAATTATGTTCATTCCTTGGCACAGCAATCTAGTTAATTTTATGTATGGTATACATTTTTTTTGTGTACAGTACAGTGGTCCCTCGTTTTTCGTAATTAATCCGTTCCTGGAGGAGCTACTATAAATGAAATTTACGATTTGCAAATCAATTTTCCCCATAAGAAATAATGTAAATACAATTAATCCGTTCCTGACACCCAGAAGTATTAAAACAAAAAAAATTTTTACATGAAATATACATATAGTACATAAACAATACGTACAATGGGAAATTATGAATGAAACATTAACAGCATAACACTTACCTTTATTGGAGATTCTTCTTAGTGTATTGGAGACTGGAGGAGGAGAGAGATTGGATTGTTTACAGTTTGGAAGGGGAATCCTCTTCCAGCAACACCTCAGGTACCAATTGCTTCTCTGGGGTTGCTTCTCTTCTCTGTTTCTTAATGCCACTAGGACCACCTTGAGAGTCACTCTAGTCCTGTCTCGCAAAGTAACTGTGGAGAGAGCTCTGTTTCTGGCGTCTCTTTAACACTTCCCTAAAATGGCCCAAGACTTTGTCACTGTACATATTTCTCACCTTCTTTACCACAGGCTTGGCACTAGGAGCTTTCTTTGGAGCCATGGTAGCTTATTTAGTAATTGCAAGCACTAAAATGAGTGGAATATTATGAAATATTACGTAGGAGCACTTGAGGGGACCTTCACTCACTGCCAGACTGGCTGGGTAGGGAGGCCGCCCCGGCTCACACCGTGCGTATGCGTCCCGGACGAACTACTATTCGCGAGTCAACCTATGAAAAGCGAGTCCATGTTTTTACAAAAATACCCCTATGATTGGCGAAATTTACGATTGCTGAGAACTACGAAAAGCGAGGGACCACTGTATTTGTTTTGCCTGCATGTGTTTTGCCTACTGCCTTATTCGTAATAAAATTAGTGAAAATTATTGATAACCTTCTTTTAGCCTATAATATCATAAGGTATTTGTTAATCCCAAGGTAGTAGGTTGATAGACAGCAACCGCCCAGGGAGGTACGTACTACCGTCCTGCCAAGTGAGTGTAAAACGGAAGCCTGTAATTGTTTTACATGATGGTAGGATTGTTGGTGTCTTTTTTTTTGTCTCATAAACATGCAAGGTTTCAGGTATGTCTTGCTACTTCTACTTACACTTAGGTCACACTACACATGCATTGTACAAGTATATATACGTATACACACCCCTCTGGGTTTTCATCTATTTTTCTTACTACAGTGGACCCCCGGTTAACGATATTTTTTCACTCCAGAAGTATGTTCAGGTGCCAGTACTGACCGAATTTGTTCCCATAAGAAATATTGTGAAGTAGATTAGTCCATTTCAGACCCCCAAACATACACGTACAAATGCACTTACATAAATACACTTACATAATTGGTCACATTCGGAGGTAATCGTTATGCGGGGGTCCACTGTAGTTCTTGTCCTTGTTTATTTCCTCTTATCTCTATTGGGAAGTGGAGCAGATTCTTCCTCCGTAAGCCATGCATGTCATGAGAGGCAACTAAAATGCCGGGAGCAAGAGGCTAGTAAACCCTTCTATATATATTATGAAAGTTAAAAAGAGATATGTACTTCAGTTTTCTTTTTGGGCCACCCTACCTCAGTGGGATACGGCCAGTTTGTTGAAAGAAGAAAGAAGATCTGTTAAGCATGTACTTTCCAGTTTTATGCTATAATTTATTTATTGTAATGCTCTGAATGTATTTAAAAATATTTATGTATTTAATAGCATGATTTTGTCTTGATGGTAAAAATAAATCAGAATAAGGATAATCCAAGTTGTATTATTGTCTTCAGGTTCCACTTGGATCTGAGGAGGCAGAAATGGTTGCTGCTGATGCCAGGCTGTTATTAGAGGAAAGAGAAATTTTGCTTGAAGAGATTCATATTCTTCGTCAACAAAGGCAGCAAGAGATGGTAAACTATCAACAAGAAGGTACGTTAGTTTAATCATTTGTTGAATTTTAGTTGTAAGAAGAATAGGTGGTATTAGTACAGAGATTTGTTAAGAGCTTCATCATTACATTGTGTAATGTGAGTTGAAAAAATGTATGCTTACAATAAGTTTCATAACATAGTTATAAATTTTGAAGCATTTGTGTGACAAACTGCTCTCCCAAATTAGTAACCAGGCTGCAACATCAGCTGGAGGAATACGAGATTAAGAACCAAACTATGTCATCTGATCTGGATACATGGAAGGTTGAGTGTGCTGAATTGGAGAAACACTGTCGAACTCTTCGGACAGAACTACGTGGTACTGTCACAAAGCAGGAGCATCAGTTTGCTGTTGACGAGTGTCAAAGGTATTTCTTATTGTCTGATTAAAGCTAAATTTGCAGGTGTTTTTACAAATTTATATTTTAGCTGGTTGCATTAACGAATTTATTTTAGACATACAAAGGTGACAACTGATAAAGATTTAATCTAAGACAGTTCAATAAATCCAAATAGGATATTTCATTTCCTTTGAGGTCCTTTTGTTTTTCACTCTACCTTTAGACATTTTTGTATGCCCTTTTCAACAAATGATGACACTATGGCTAATACAAAATAAAAAAAAACTAAAATTTCAAGACAACAACAGCAAAAACACAAAATCGCTGTAATGTTAATTAGATCTAGAATATAGTTTCTTCTATGCTTGGCTACTTCTGATGCAACATTACGTTAAAAAGAAAGAGATTCCCATTCCTCTCTTTCTGCAGCTTCATTAATTCAATGATCCTTATTCTTATTCCAGTAGTGATTCTAGTACTGTACATATTTAGCAAGAGGAATTAAAAACTTATGTAAACTTTTTTTTTCTCTTGGCATAACTAGAACTTCATTGACTTGATTTTTATTGTATTGTGTTTCATGAAGTGTTAAACTTATGCTTAGACATTCAGTGTGTGGAAGTCATGAAGGCTTGATCCTCCCTCTGCTAATCTCTTTTTTTTTTTTTTTGCAATATTTCATCTTATTCTTGAGGTTGTGTCATGGGTGAATGTCCTTGTAAAACTTACCAGATTGGTACTAAATTAATGTTTGCATTCCCAACTCCAGGCTTTTTGAGGAATTGCGGGCTGTTTACAATCAAGAATCAGGGAACCTGAAAGGAAAAATGAAAGCAGCAAAACATGAGAAGAAAAATTTAGCAGAAAAGTTGACAGATACTTCCACTCAAGCCCACAACCTCAGTGTTCAGGTTTCAGGGCTCAAAGGGTCATTAAGGTAAAATTACATAAATGTTTTAATGTACAGTAATTGTATTTCTTATTTACTGCATGATTTAATAAATGACAGTTTTTCAGTATTCATTTTAGAAAATTTTGTTGTGATTAATCTCATACCTGTTGAAAGAAGTGTGATCACGTAAGATAATGAATTGAATATCAAGTAGGATTTAAAGACTCCAGTTATATAACAGAGGGAGTGGAAAAAGTATTGAGTGGGGCTGGCTTTATGAAAAGAATAGAGCAAGATTGGCCGGATAGGCAGTGTAGGGAGAATCTGAGTGTGTGTGGATAGGTGGTGGCGGTGTGGGGAACATCTAAGTTATGCTTAGTTTGGAGTGTGTGAAAGAAGTGTTGAGCATGAAGCAGGCACATCTGAGCATGCTGGATTGAAATAAATATAGGCGAGTGGTTCGTGGAATTTAATATGCTATTGCAGTGCGAGTGAGGTGCTGTAATATACCAGGCATTGTGCACCAACAAAGAATAAGCACTACAATGGCGAAAATCCAGGTTAATGCGCCAATCAGTTCCTCTCTAATCTCTGTGGGAACGTGTAAGTACAGTGGACCCCCACTTAACGATCACCTCCAAATGCGACCAATTATGTAAGTGTATTTATGTAAGTGCGTTTGTACGTGTATGTTTGGGGGTCTGAAATGGACTAATCTACTTCACAATATTCCTTATGGGAAAAAATTCGGTCAGTACTGGCACCTGAACATACTACTGGAATGAAAAAAGTTCGTTAACCGGGGGTCCACTGTATTGTGTTCTGCATCATTGAGTTAAGACCTGAGCCCCATAAGTATAGTAACTTGAGCTTCATAGCTCTAAACACCTCCACACCTGCTTATTTAGCCACTGTTTAAATTTGGCGCTTATTCTTGTCTGCTGTGCAACACCTCATATGTGAAGAGATGTATGGAAACCAGCTAATTGAGGGGGAGAATTGGAAGTAGGGGAGTACAATACAATTGTTTTCTTCTTTGGGTCACATGTGCCTTGGTGAAAATTGCCAATGAGAAAAAAAAGTGTAGTAGATTGTAAAATTTGCCTTTTCATTAGTTTTAAAAACTAATTTAGGCTATTTTGAGTAACAGTTTGGCAAAAAGTAAAATCTTATAAATACTTGCACTTTTTATTATTTTGTTTAAAATTAGATTGTAGTATTAAATACATGTACAGTGGACCCCCGGTTAACGAACTTTTTTCATTCCAGTAGTATGTTCAAGTGCCAGTACTGACCGAATTTTTTCCCATAAGGAATATTGTGAAGTAGATTAGTCCATTTCAGACCCCCAAACATACACGTACAAACGCACTTACATAAATACACTTACATAATTGGTCGCATTTGGAGGTGATCGTTAAGCGGGGGTCCACTGTATTATTATATTAGTTTGCTGTAAAGTCTCAACTTAGTCACAGATATTCACCCACATGGGAAATACATATTGTGTCTACTACATCTCACTCAAACTCTAATAACAAATCTGTTTTCTCCACTGTGGTAGATATATAAACACCCTATAGATACAGAAGTCTATTTAGAGGGATAGACAATCTTGCTTGCCTTCTACTCGAATTGGTTTACAAAAATTTTTATATACGTGTACTGAAGTGGTAACATAATTTTTAAGTATCCAGTATCCACACTACACTTAAAAGTGTAGCTGTCATTCTCCAGTTTGCTGTACACAATGCATCTTTATCAGGCCTTCACTGTCACATAATTGTTTTAAGAAAAATCTTTTTTGAGCAGTGCCACATGCCTTTCATTAGTTTTCTAAATGCTGACACTAAACTCTTCTTCCAGTCTTCTACACCCGTATCTAACATCTGTATGCTAAGGTAAGTCATACAGTTAATCCATGCAACTGTTCTTGAGCTTGCTTGCCCTTTAATACAATTATAAAGACTTATATATTCTTCATTATTCCCTACTGTTTTGCAGGGTGGCAAATCTTAGGTAAGTAGAGATGATATAATTGAAGGCCTTGACACACAGTAGTGACATACATGTCCCATTGAAAAGTATATTGGATCTCAATTTTTCAGGTTGTAGGTTGAAACCTTTAATGGAGCTTTTTTATTTACCTGTATTTTATTTTATTTTTTTTCTTAGGTAGTAGGTTGGTAGACAGCAACCGCCCAGGGAGGTACTACCGTCCTGCCAAGCGAGTGTAAAACGGAAGCCTGTAATTGTTTTACATGATGGTAGGATTGCTGGTGTCCTTTTTTCTGTCTCATAAACATGCAAGATTTCAGGTACGTCTTGCTACTTCTACTTACACATAGGTCACACTACACATACATGTACAAACATATACGTATATACACACCCATCTGGGTTTTCTTCTATTTTCTTTCTAGTTCTTGTTCTTGTTTATTTCCTCTTACCTCCATGGGGAAGTAGAACAGAATTCTTCCTCCGTAAGCCATGCATGTTGTAAGAGGCAACTAAAATGCGAGGAACAAGGGACTAGTAACCTCTTCTCCTGTATGTATTACTAAATGTAAAAGGAGAAACTTTAATTTTTCCTTTTGGGCCACCCCGCCTCGGTGGGATACGGCTGGTGTGTTGAAATAAGAAAGAATTTTTTTTTTTTAAGTGAGGCATGAAATATTATTAATGTCTCTCAGACTTTATATATGCCCATTTTTATATGCAGTATTATGCTGTATATATATGTATGTATTGGGCTGTCAGAGTACTACATGCATGGAATGGTATGGTATTCATATCCTTCAGGCATTTTCACAATTTTAGGCATATCTTTTACTAATCTTTTTGTGTGTATGCTGAGAACTTTTATTCTTCTAATTATAATGCATGTCATCATGAAAGAAAATAATTGGTTATATATTGAGTAATAATGACTATATAAAATTATATACATGCTATGAACAGATTGGAAATAATAATAATCATAATAATAATCAACACTCCTCCTTCAGAGAGCAGGCACTGTACTTCCTGGAGGTGTGAAGTACAGTGCCTGCACTCTGAAGGAGGGGTGTTAATATTACAGTTTTTTAACTGTAGTGTAAGCATGCCTCTGGCAAGACAGTGATGGAGTGAATGATTGTGAAAGTGTTTCTTCTTTTCCGGGTCACCCAGCCTTGATGGGAAACGGCCGATATGTTAATAAAAAAAAATAGTGCAAGAATACCATATGTAGGAGAGAAGTGTACTATATGTGAGCAAAAGTAGTCCATAGACAAGTATGTGTGATGTCACCATAGTTATTTAAATACATATACTGTACATATTTATAGATGGGGTTGTAAAAAAGTGACTACTACTAGGGTGTTAGGGAGAAGTGTGAGATTAAAAGCTAATGAATCTGATATGAAGTGAGAGTTGTCACAAGGTGATGAGTAACAAAAAATCTTGGCAATGAATGATTGAATATCAATTTAGAGGGAGAGTGTATGGAGGAAATGAGTGCATTTATTGTAATGTTAAAATGTAGACACATCTGCAGAAGGGTCTGTGAAAGACAAGATGAACCGTATGGAGGAAGTAAATGTGTTTTGATCTTCGGGAATGGACATGTCAGCAGAGAGTTCTATGACAGAAAAGGTATACTGTATGAAGACTATAATAACAATTTACTTAGGGTAATTTTCTGGTACAGTACAAGGTTGTAAAACATACTTTTGCTAAAGAGAATTGTAATAAGTTTGATAAAGCAAACAGGAATACTAATACAGATTGGTTTTATTTTTGTAATAAGGCATACAGTCAGATTGGTTTTATTTTTGTAATAAGGCATACAGTTTAGAGGTGAAATTAGCAAAGTGCATTGATGACTACACTTCACAGTGAACAGCACATGCCTAGCACATGCCTCATAGCACAGAATGGACATCACACTGTTTTACCATGCAGTCTCACACTGCACTGTCTCACAAATTCACTGTTCTTTCTCCCTCATCACAGGAGGCTTTCAGCTAGAGCTCCTTAACTGCTGGGTTTCTGTCTATCTCTGTTACTTAACTGAACTCTGTTTTGTTACTGACATCCCATACTGTACCTTACACAGATACACGCACTTCCTCTGTTCAGTCTGTGGGTCAGTGGTCAAGGATCACTCACTAGGTCTAGGCTGGCTAGGTCTAGCTAGCTTCCACACATTTTTCTAGTTTCTAAAATATTTAGACATCATTCACTTTCACCTAGCTAACACACAGTTCATCATACTAAATTCTCATTGGAAGAATTATTACTATTGCCTTTTCCTATGTGAGCAGTGGAGCAACAATTTCACAAGATAATTAGTAAATATGGCCATATGACATCCAAAGCAAATTAGTGCATATAGATATAGATATCATGTGGCAAAATTTTTTTAATTATCTTGACCCTTATGGGTTTAGCACTTGGTTATGATTAAAATAATAATAATGTTAATTATCTCTTGAATTTGACTCCACTGGGCACACAGGGAAAGACAGGAGTGAGGCTTTCTCCATTGAACATTTTGTGTGATGCAGTATGATAGTACCTGATTTTTTAAGTATGAGGAGAATTGATGGGAAATATTATGCACAAATGGAAAAATGGTTTTAAAAGCAAGATGAATTTCACAGGTAATATTTTGTTTTGTTTCATCTTAATTGAATGCATGACTAATTTAAATTCTGTACCAACCAGGAAGACAGAATGCAGAGTTCAACGTCGGGAGCGATCTCTGAAAGCAGTGCAAGCAGCAGCTCGCCTGGCTCAGTCACGTCTCCAGTCCCTCAGAACAGTTTGCAGGTTTGTTTTTGCCATGATGCTTAGCATTTCCAGAAAATAGAAAATAATGAAATTCATAAACGGTAGTAATAGACAGGATCAGCCATCTAGCATTTTTCTTTTTTGTCGTAGAATGTATATTTTACATGTATTTTATCTTCAGTTGTAAGTCAGTTTAAGGTGAGTTATTTTATATGTTCTTATTATACATAAAATTATAGCTTCCTTATTTAGTGCTTTGATAATATTTTGTTGAAATTTTCCTTACTGATCTTAATTTGTTTAGACTAGCCCAGTCAGCTGATAAATTCTAATAATTTTCTCAGTGCTCTGCTTACTAGCCTGTAAGTAAAATGCTCCTAGAATTGTACTCTTTGGTTTTTAAACATGAAGTACTGCCTTGGTTAATGTTATTTTTTGAGCTGCTACTTTTATATTTTAATTTAAATTCTATATATTAATGTGGTAATAATTGTCTGTTCACTAGTGAACTCATTGAAGATCGAGAAAAGCTTTTACATTCATTAGCAGCTCAACGAAAAGAGACCGAAGAATTGTCACGAGAAGTTACCTTACGCAGTGCAACTGTGGGGGTTCTTTCACAGAAACTCAAGGTGTGTATTGGTTTTTAATGTGTTAAAAAATTTTTATATTCCAGCACCCTGAACATCACATCACTGAATTCTCATCTATATCAAAATCTCTTTTCATACTTATTCTTCATCACTAACATAATTTTGCATTTTCATACAGGAGGAACGTTTGATGTGGAGTAGGCGTATTGCTGAGAGTGAAGGTGCCTTGAAAGCAGCAAAGTCGGCTTGGAAGCGTTCAAGCAGAGAAGCCTCACACTTGCGCAGTTTAGTTACTTCCAAGGATGATACAATCGCTTCTCTCATTGCTGATTATAAGTAAGATGCTGTTATTTCTCTCTTCCACTCACTCAGGGACAAATAAGCAACAATTAACAATGTCATACATGTAGATTGATTCTACAGCATTTATGTGTATACTGGGTAGAGTAACCAGTGTGTAGTACTGGATCTATGTTCTCTAATCTATATATTACAAAAGGCACATGATATTATTGTATGGAATTTTACTAAATTTGCATTTTGTGGTTAAAAACTTTTTCAGTTTTCATCACTAGATAGGATTTTAACACCTCTGCCAGTGTCATTGAATACTCGGGATAAAACTTAAATAATCACGTATTTTGGGAAAATTCCATTAGTAATCTTCATAACATTTAAACTAAGGACTTCCTTCTTTACCAGGCTTCTGGGATTAGATTACAGCGACGCCAAGCGCCACAACATTCGGCAACACGTGCCAAAGCATCACAACATTCTGGGAGGCGCAGTATGACAATGGAAACGTAAAGATAATATGGCAGCACTCTTGATACTTTTCCGCTGCATCAGCTTGCAAGAGAGAAACAGTGTTCACACAATGCTAATATGCAGTGATTTGTGTTTTTGTTTCAAGGTTTGAGTGTCACCTCACTCAGTAGAGATATTTAAGATGAATAATAAAAATCATGTAACAGTTTCTCATTATATCCAGTATTTATATAAAAATGTTAGGGCAATAAAGGTTTATTAATTGGTTTAAATTTTAAATAATGTACTTATAGTTAAATGCAGTAAAAATTAATTGTGAAAAAAAAGCAGTGAAAATTATAATTGCAAATTTTTTATATAAGATTGTTTGTTGTGGGAGACAGCCATAGTGTTAAAAAAAATTATTTTGAGCTTAGAAATTAAAGAATTTTGAGTAGTGTGTAAGTGGAAATGATATAGAGCAGTAGTTGCTAAATAATCAAATGTCAGGTGAAGAGAGCATGAAAATGTGTAGAATGGTCTCTTGCAGTTAAAGGGATAATGTGTATTTCACTTAAGGTACATATGTGGTTATATTTCATGAAGTACTAAACCAGAATGGATCTTTCATTGCAAGGACTGGTATAAACTCAATCCTGTCTGCTGATCAGGAGCCTTACCACTCAGGTTGTTGGTGAGTGTCTGCTTCACTTAAATTTCTTGGGTTTGGTTCTAATTTGTCAGCATTTTGTAGATACAAATTTATTATAGAAGCCTTATTCTTTGTAAAGTGTGAAATAGTACAATGAGATGTTAGAAAAAATATATCAGAAATGGAAACAATAAAAGAGGAAAGAGCTCTTATAATTTCTGAAAAAAGAGCATAATCACATGAGTACAAAAGATTATTATGAAAAGTCCTGAAAGTAAAAGTTTCAGTAAATATTACTGTAGTGGGTGAAGAGTAAGACATGTGCAACAGTTGGCTATCTTTATCATTGACTGAAATGTTTCACCTACTCAGTAGGCTTCTTCAGTCAAATACAAGGATAGCAGGCATGGCAGTGAAGTAAAGATGATGTAACCAGTCCATCAACCTTGGAGAAATAGTTTTTGAGGTGGTCAGTCCCTCACTCATAAATGTGTTTTCTATTTTTTTTTTGTGTGTGTAAATTTTTTAAGTCTTTTACCTTTTATTATTAATATTTTTAAGAAAATTATCTAAAATAGATAATAACTGAATATCGGTAATAATTTAAGAGGGTCTTCTAACTAAAATTGTTAACTAGGGTGTTTTGAAGTTGAGATCAATAGCCCCATTTTGACTAAGTGGACATGTCACATGATTTTTTTTACCCTTGTTAAACCAATTACCCTGAATCTTTCTTCATACATATCATACCATTTCAAACATACAGTGAATGTTTGAAAACCGAAGGCTATTTACAAAAAATAGTTGAAAATTACTATACCATACTCCACATTATATTTCTAATTTTTTGTTATTTTTAAATGAACCATTTATCACATGCAAGTCTAGTCCAACTGTCAAGATACCATAAGAGTATTTTTGATAGTCAGTAGCGTATCTTTAGAGATAGAAAGAGCAGCCCCAATCAAATGTTACTAATAGATTTTTATATTTTGAGAAAACTATTGTACAGAGCACATATTTAAATATTACCAAAGGATCGTACCAACTAATTAAATCTAGTCTCTATGTGATCAAGTATAATTAAGTGCAATACCCATTTCTGTGTTCTATCCAGTGCCAGTTTTATGAAAATGTCCTTTGAAACTGTGGTACTGTAGTTACTAATGTAGTACTGTATTGTATATGAAAGGTGTAATGCAATGCCAGACTGGAACAAATAATTTGAGCAGGTTAAATATATGCTAGCAAAAATTTCATGTTGTGCATTCAAAGGACGTGTAGTACGAGCATGTCATTACCATATATTTTTTTTTTTTTTTTTTTTTAACAAGTCGGCAGTCTCCCACCGAGGCATGGTGACCCAAAAAAGAAAGAAAATCCCCAAAAAGAAAATACTTTCATCTTTATTCAACACTTTCACCACACTCGCACATTATCACTGCTTTTGCAGAGGTACTCAGAATACAACAGCTTAGAAGCATATACGTATAAAGATACACAACATATCCCTCCATACTGCCAATATCCCAAACCCCTCCTTTAAAGTGCAGGCATTGTACTTCCCATTTCCAGGACTCAAGTCCGACTATATGAACATAACCGGTTTCCCTGAATCCCTTCACTAAATATTACCCTGCTCACACTCCAACAGATCGTCAGGTCCCAAGTATCATTCGCCTCCATTCACTCCTATCTAACACGCTCATGCACGCTTGCTGGAAATCCAAGCCCCTAGCCCACAAAACCTCCTTTACCCCCTCTTTCCAACCCTTTTGAGGACGACCCCTACCCCTCCTTCCTTCCCCTATAGATTTATATGCTTTCCATGTCATTCTACTTTGATCCATTCTCTCTAAATGACCAAACCACCTCAACAACCCCTCTTCTGCCCTCTGACTAATGCTTTTATTAACTCCACACCTTCTCCTAATTTCCACACTCCGAATTTTCTGCATAATATTTACACCACACATTGCCCTTAGACAGGACATCTCCACTGCCTCCAACCGTCTCCTCGCTGCTGCATTTACCACCCAAGCTTCACATCCATATAAGAGTGTTGGTACTACTATACTTTCATACATTCCCTTCTTTGCCTCCATAGATAACGTTTTTTGACTCCACATATACCTCAATGCACCACTCGCCTTTTTTCCCTCATCAATTCTATGATTAACCTCATCCTTCATAAATCCATCTGCCGACACGTCAACTCCCAAGTATCTGAAAACATTTACTTCTTCCATACTCCTCCTCCCCAATTTGATATCCAATTTTTCTTTATCTAAATCATTTGATACCCTCATCACCTTACTCTTTTCTATGTTCACTTTCAACTTTCTACCTATACACACATTCTCAAACTCATCCACTAACCTTTGCAATTTTTCTTTAGAATCTCCCATAAGCACAGTATCATCAGCAAAAAGTAACTGTCAATTCCCATTTTGAATTTGATTCCCCATAATTTAATCCCACCCCTCTCCCGAACACCCTAGCATTTACTTCTTTTACAACCCCATCTATAAATATATTAAACAATCATGGTGACATTACACATCCCTGTCTAAGACCTACTTTTACCGGGAAGTATTCTCCCTCTCTTCTACACACCCTAACCTGAGCGTCACTATCCTTATAAAAGCTCTTTACAGCATTTAGTAACTTACCACTTATTCCATGTACTTGCAACATCTGCCACATTGCTCCTCTATCCACTATCATATGCCTTTTCTAAATCCATAAATGCAATAAAAACTTCCCTACCTTTATCTAAATACTGTTCACATATATGCTTCAATGTAAACACTTGATCTACACATCCCCTACCCACTCTGAAGCCTCCCTGCTCATCCGCAATCCTACATTCTGTCTTACCTCTAATTCTTTCAATTATAACCCTACCGTATACTTTTCCTGGTATACTCAGTAAACTTATTCCTCTATAATTTTTACAATCTCTTTTGTCCCCTTTCCCTTTATATTACATGCTCTCCGCCAATCCCTAGGTACCTTCCCCTCTTTCGTACATTTATTAAACAAAAGTACCAACCACTCCAACACTATATCCCCCCCTGCTTTTAACATTTCTGTCATGATCCCATCAGTTCCAGCTGCTTTACCCCCTTTCATTCTACGTAATGCCTCACATACCTCCACCACACTTACATTCTGTTCTTCTTCACTCCTAAAAGATGGTATACCTCCCTGGCCAGTGCATGAAATTACCGCCTCCCTTTCTTCCTCAACGTTTAAAAGTTCCTCAAAATATTCTCTCCATCTACCTAATACTTCCCTCTCCCCATCTACTAACTCCCCTACTCTGTTTTTAACTGACAAATCCATACTTTCCCTAGGCTTTCTTAACTTGTTTAACTCGCTCCAAAATTTTTTCTTATTTTCATTAAAATTTCTTGACAGTGCCTCTCCCACTCTTTCATCTGCTCTCCTTTTGCACTCTCTCACCACTCTCTTCACCTTTCTTTTACTCTCCATATACTCTGCTCTTCTTATAACGCTTCTGCTTTGTAAAAACCTCTCGTAAGCTACCTTTTTCTCTTTTATCACACCCTTTACTTCATCATTCCACCAATCACTCCTCTTTCCTCCTGCCCCTACCCTCCTATAACCACAAACTTCTGCCCCACATTCTAATACTGCATTTTTAAAACTATTCCAACCCTCTTCAACCCCCCCACTACTCATCTTTGCACTAGCCCACCTTTCTGCCAATAGTCGCTTATATCTCGCCCGAACTTCCTCCTCCCTTAGTTTATACACTTTCACCTCCCTCTTACTTGTTGTTGCCACCTTCCTCTTTTCCCATCTACCTCTTACTCTAACTGTAGCTACAACTAAATAATGATCCGATATATCAGTTGCCCCTCTATAAACGTGTACATCCTGGAGCCTACCCATCAACCTTTTATCCACCAATACATAATCTAACAAACTACTTTCATTACGTGCTACATATATGTAATAGTAATTAGTAGTATAAGGAAACCCTCAGAATTTATGTTTTTGGAAGGGTTCTTAAATCTACACACCCAGTAAGGTTAAAACCCCTGTGATGTATGGAGTTGATCCATATCATGGCACACATGTATTGAATGACATGTGCTTCAAAGAGGTGAGGATGGGAAAAAGCCCCTTGAAATTCTTTGATCTGAAAAACTGGAGCTACCCTCTGCTTCGTTAGATAAAATTTGGTTGCTTTCTATACCCCAGGTGCTGCATGACTCTTGTGGGTTTTGTGCTTCCCAATGAATATAATAATGATAATAATAATAATAATAATAATAATAATGACATTTTAGTCTGCCATGAGTCATCACTTGTGTGATTGGCATGTTTTACTATTTGAGTTTACCTGTGACTTTGAAATTTTACCACTAAATCAAAGCAACTGCTTTGATTTAGTGCATTGTATGTATTGTCTCAGTCTCTCAGATAAACAATAAAATTATATTTACAGAAGATAAATCTGTTTATTTCCTATAATTATACAACTGAGATAACAGACCTCTGTATAATAAACTTCAGAAATATAAAAAAATCTTCTGTATCAATCAATTCAGAAGCAACGGACGGAGTCCACTGATTATGAAAATATGGAAAAAATCTGCTAGGTCAATTGATTTAGAAACAACAGATGAAGTCCATTGGTTACAGACCTGTTCGCTATTGTTGCTATCCTGGGAAAACAGTCTCTGTTCTGTACACTACAACTGCCAAATGTAATCACCATAGCAAACCTACTGGTTCCTGCAAGCCAGGTTCTGAATGTCATATGGCAGGTATTGCTGAAGAGTGCAATGATAATAATGATAATGACAGTTCCAAATTAATGTACAAGCATCTCAATATTATTAAAGCCCATTGTATACACATTTTAAGCAAACGAACTAGATCTCAGAGTCCATAGGTGTTTCTAAAGGGTTTAGTGCAAAGTATTTGCAGGAGTTAAAAATAATTAACATAAAAGTTACAAGGTAGAAGAGCATTTGGTGTAAAGGAAACCTTTATTATAGGGACTTCAACTTAGAATATTTCCATGATAACCTCAACACAGAATAGAACCTGGAACCCTCCATCAACCTCAACACAGAATGGAATCTTCCATCTAATTCACCCTTGTGAAGTAGAATAATACACTATCCTTCCAGAATCTTCCCTTAAGTAGAGATCATGGCGAGTTGCTTTTGATCCAAGGAACTGCACTTATCCTCCCCTTCCTTACATTAAATGTCTCGCATTCTTCAGGTGCTATATGACCCTATGGGTTTAGCAAATCCCCTTGATTAAAATGAGTAAATAAATAACTTTACTTAATGTCAATCTTCTCAAAGTACAAAACACTATTAAATTTCAGGTTTATAGAAAACCCACCAATGAAGACGATCTCATCCACAAATTTTTCCACCATGATAAGCATAATGAACATAGTGTCATCACTGTTCTTTTTCCTCGGGGTTTGTAGAATACACACCCAATTTTCTTGAGGGCAAGTGAAGCATTATTTCCTACATATTTAGCAAATTCATTGAAGATTAAGATAAGATAAGATAAGAGATAAGATTTCGTTCGGATTTTTAACCACGGAGGGTTAGCCACCCAGGATAACCCAAGAAAGTCAGTGCGTCATCGAGGACTGTAACTTATTTCCATTGGGGTCCTTAATCTTGTCCCCCAGGATGCAACCCACACCAGTCGACTAACACCCAGGTACCTATTTGCTGCTAGGTGAACAGGACAATAGGTGTAAGGAAACGTGTCAGAATTTCCACCCGCCGGGAATCGAACCCGGGCCCTCCGTGTGTGAAGCGGGAGTTTTAGCCACCAGACCACCGGACCACCAGACTCAACTGACAGCCTAGATGGCAATATAATCTGAGCTCTCAAGCAAGGCAATGTCAATGTGACAATCACAACATCTAGAAATAGAAGAACTTACAGGCAAGGACCTGTGAGTTCATAACTTTTCTTAAAGCTTTGTATGGATTTTGCATCTACTACATCATTTCCCAGACTATTCCACTTCCTGACAACTCTGTGACTAAACCCCTCAAGGAAGGTTCATTGATGCTGGTGGGGGCTCTTGATCTAGGGAACTGGATCTGTGCTCCAGTTCCCTGAATTAACTCTGAATACCTTCCATCCCCCCCCACCCCACAGGTGCTGTATAATCCTATGGGTTTAGTGTTCTTCCCTTGATTATAATAATAATAATAATCTGTGACTAAAGAAATACTTCCTAACATCCCTGTGATTCATCCAAATCTTCAACTTCCAACTGTGACCCCTTGTTGCTGGGTCCCATCTTTGGAACATCCTGTCTCTGTTCACCTTGTTGATTCCTCTTGATATTTTAAATGCCGTTATCATATTCCCCCAATATCCCCTGTCTTCCAGTGTCGTCAGGTCAATTTCCCTTCACCTCTCCTCGTAGGATATGCCTCTTACCTCCAGGACTAGTCTTGTTGCAAACCTTTGCACTTTCTCTAGTTTCCATATGTGCTTGACTAGGTGAGGGTTCCAAACTGCCGCTGCATACTCCAATATGGGCCTAATGTATACAGTGTACAGGGTCCTGAATAACTGCTTATTAAGATGTCAGAATGTTGTTCTTAGGTTTGCCAGGCACCCATATGCTGCAGCAGTTATTTGGTTGATGTGCGTCTCAGGAGATGTGCCCGGTGTTATGCTTACCCCAAAATCCTTCTTG